CCCACCGTGGCCCACCTGCATTGCCCACTTCACCTTGGTTATCAGGGTCCATGCAGTATTTGACCTTGGGAGCCCACCGCTGCCCTCCCATGTTCTTTCTCGACTGCCCATGCCCCCTCACATTCCTGACGTCCCTCCAGTTGCGGTCAGACACACAACCCTTCGGACCATGTCCTTGCTTGGTGACGCCCTTCTGTGTATCTGAAACCTCGGGGTTCACGGGGGGTCAGTGCAGGGAAAGGCCTTCCCTGCACCTTTACGCTGGTGTTTGGGATGGAGGGCATTTGTGTGTTGGCCCCACGTGAAGTGCTTCAGATGAGATCTTTGTATACATCAGGACTTGGAAAAGGAAGTCTGTCTTGTTGTATTGCTGTGTTTTCTCCTGTCCAACTGTGGGCACTAACCAATCCCCTTGGTGCCACCTTCCTGGCTTGGCCCTGACTCCTGGAAAAGGTGAACTGAGATTGACCTCTCTTTCCCAGCCTAATGATCTGCTCGCTATCAGCTGATTCTTCTTGTTTCATTGGATACGGATTTTACATCACAAGTGGTCCTTTGTTGTGAGGAGTGGGTGGGATGTAGGTAAACAGTATGTATTATGCCTAGATAGCTTCTGATCGTACAAATGGTATGTCAATGGACCAATCCGTACAAACAGCCCCATCATTGTGACAGGAGACAACAGAGTTGGCGCGGGGGCTGGGGACTGACTGTTTTCAGTCCTGCGCCATCCTGTTCCAGGTGTTACCTAGCGGTGTTGCTATTCCCATAACACGCGTCTTGGTCGTTGGCAGGTGAATGGCTACGTGGTAAACCTTTTCTGGGCCTTTGACACCCACAAACAAGAAAAGAGAACCTTGAACTTCCGTGGGAGTAGCTTGTCACACAAAGGTAACACTGGGGTGCTAGTCAGTGTGCTAACAGGACGAGGATGGCAGCACAGTCCCTGGGTGGTCCTGGTTAGTCCCTGGGTGGAAAGGGTTGGTTGGTTCCTGGGCAGTAGTGGTTGGTTAGTCCCTGGATGGTCACGGTTAGTCCCTGGGTGGTCATGGTTAGTCCCTGGGTGGTCATGGCTAGTCCCTGGGTGGAAAGGGTTGGTTAGTCCCTGGGTGGTCATGGTTAGTCCCTGGGTGGTCCTGGGTAGTCCCTGGGTGGTCATGGTTAGTCCCTGGGTAGAAAGGGTTGGTTGGTTCCTGGGTAGTAATGGCTGGTTAGTCCCTGGATGGTCATGGTTAGTTCCTGGGTGGTCATGGCTAGTCCCAGGTGGTGTGGCAAATGGTTAGTCCATGTGGTTAATAACAGAAAGGTTGGCGGTTTGGGTTCACTCAGATGTGCTTCAGTAGAAATGTCTGGCAATCTACTTCTAAATAAAGCCTAGTCCTTGGATGCCTGTGATGCCCAATTCTACTCCCCAACGTGCTGTGGGTGCTGGGGGCAGGAGTTGGGGTCACAAGGGAATGCCAGCTGGATTTTAACTTTCCCTGACATGTGTGTGTGGAGCCAGAGGTGGGCAGTGGGTTCTTCTCTGAAGGCCCTTGCTGATGGAGCGGATCTTATCCGTTGGGGCAGCCTCTCGGTAGAGGGACACATGCACAGCTGGTCAAGGCTGCTTCTACACAGATGCCTCTCTGGAAGTCAGAGGGGGTGATGGAGGAAAAACTGGAGATGAGTTGTCCTCCAATGATCTGAGGGTTCCCAAGGAAAGCAGTCCTAGATTGAGTTCCCTGCCTGTCTTCTCTGGCTGGGTTTGCTCCTGCGTTGGCTAATACAGTGTGCATAACTGGTATTCAGTGCATATCATTGAATATCTGTTCACGAACAAACCAAGGAAAGATAGTCCAGCCCTTAGATCTCTGAAAAGACTGAGCCCCAGTTAAAACGATCAAATCTGAACATGTGTTCAAGGTAGGATTTGGGTGTATTGCAAAGACCAGCGTTCAGTGGCAGATAGGCTGCCTCTGCTGTTGAGGGTGCCCTGGACTTGCCTGTCTGTAGAGGCTCTCCGCTCTATTCCCTTCCGGCCTGGCTGTCACATCGTAACACTGAATGTGCATGTGTTCGCTACTGTCTCTCTTGTCAAACCAAGAATCTGCTCGGTGAGATAGCGCGCCCAGGAAGGCACACGGGTAAAATGGAACATCGCGCCCCTACTGTGTGCATGCAGTTTACCTGGCTGATTGGCTTTATATAACCATAATACTAACTCTGCTATGGGGCACGGTAGTGTACAGATAGAAACTGACGTTTAGAGGCTAATTTACGGAGCAGGACTGGAACTGTGCCTATCTGACCGCAGTGCCCCCGTGGCCCAGCATTCTACACGGGTGGGGCGGGGACAAAACACAGACCTTAGCAGTTACTGACGAAAACATAGGAAGAACTTGCTTGATGCGGATCCTCAGACCGTGTGTTTACAAGTGTTTTCTTTGTTGTGCTCCACAGTGGCCAGCTGCTGTCAGCGCTGTCATGTAGAAATAAGGAACTAGACCTCAAGAAGTGAAATCGTTGACCCCGGTCAACCACAGAGTTACAAAGCTACCATGCTTCTAATACAGCTTCTGCCACTTTGCCCTCTGCTCTGTTATTTTTAAAAAAACCTCCCCTCATACAAAAGGAGCACATGTTTATTCCTGAAAAAAAAAAAAAAGACACCTAAAATATATATAAAGAAAACAAACCAAAAAATGTCTAATTTCACACCCCAGAGAAGAGACATCATTTTACATTTTTGATCCAGGCAAAATTCATTCATGTTTTGTTTTCAGTGATTGGTTGTTGTTGTTTCCTTTGAGTTGACCTCTCTGTGTGTGTCTTCATGGAAAACGGAAGGACTGTCATTTAGGGTTTTGTATTTTGCCTCTTTCCTTTAAAATAAAAGTGAAAATTTCCCGTAGCCGTCTTCTAACACACCGCGTGGGGTGGCTGGCATGCCTGCAGTGCAGTTGAATTCATGGTCGCGGCAGTTGAGAGACTACTTCTTGTTCTTGGATGACGTGTGCGTGTTAGTGACGCGTGTCTTGCCTTCCCGTGCTCAGCTTGTCCACCTCATCCTCTTGTCCGTGTGTTCGCAGTCGGCAATCTGACAGCTCACACCTCCTATGAGATTTCGGCATGGGCCAGGACTGACCTGGGCGATAGTCCTTTGGCATTTGAGCATGTCATGACCAAAGGGACCCGACCACCGGCTCCGATCCTCAAAGCCAAGGCCATCAACCAGACAGCCGTGGAATGTACCTGGACTGGCCCCAGGAATGTGGTGAGTCGCCGGGATGACCAGCTCAGCCGGGCCTCTTCGCCAGTGCTGGTCCCCTGGAAAGGCTCTGAGCTCTCTCCTCCTCTGCTGACCACTCCTCACCTCTCCCCTCAGTCAGTTCCGGGGCCCTTATAAAGGAATCAGGACATCTCAGCTCCACCATCACCTTTCCACACCCCGGCCTGGTATTGCTGTTTAGTAGACCTGGAGGATATGGGGGTGCATACTCCTGTGCTTGGGAACTGACGGTGGGACCTGGGCCTGATGAGGGGTCATCAGCACTGAGAGTGGGTACGGCTAAGGAGTCCCCAAATACTTGGCCTTAGCTTCCCCAGCCCCTTTTCACCTGTGTGACTGCCCCCTGGAGGCCTTCAATAACCAGGTCCTCCGTGCACGCACCCACAGTCATTCCACGATCCACACAACGTTTGTGTACAGCTCTTTATTCTCTTTTGTTTTATATACTTAACGATCCGTTCAGTGGTTCTTTTTGATTCTTTCACTCCCCAGCCCTCCCCAAGGTGTGCCTTTCTGTACCTTTATGTCTGCCTTCCTGAGGTTCTTGGTACATTCCATCCCTGCTCTGACCTCGCATCCTTGCCCATGCTGCTTTTCCTCCCCAGACTTCCCCCCTCTCTCCCGGCAGTCAAATCCTGCTCTTTTCCCTGTATGAGCTCATGAAATACTTCTAGTCTGTGCCACTCAGCACAGGCCCTTGTGGTGGTAGTCATTAGGTGCCCTCCGCCTGTCCTGATCCAGAGCGACCCTGTGCACACAGGGCGCCAGGGCCCTGTGCCGGCCTCACTGGCAGTGGTTATGGGCGAGCCCGTGGTGGCAGGCACTGCACCCGTTCCCCTCCTTGAGGGCCTTCCTGTTTGTCACTGCCCTTCCATTTGACCAAGCGTCGGACTGGTCTCTCCTGACAACAAGTCCAGGGAATAAAGTCTTGCCATCCTTGATTCTAAGGAACATTTCAACTGTACTTCTCCCATCACAGACTTTTTTCATTCCTCCAACAGGCCACGCACACTTCATTCAGGAGTCCTCACAGCACCACACTTCCCAGGCCTGGATGCTTTGCTCTTGGTCATTCATGGTGAGGCAGTTAAAAATATCATGGCTAGAGTTAGGCGCTCCTGAATCCTCAGAGTGGCGTCCTTGCTCTTCAATGGTTTAAAGAGGGCTGTACATGAAATTGCCACAGCAATGTCATTTGATGTCTTGACTGCTGCTTTATTGAGCCTGGCTTGGATCTAAGCAAGATGAAATCCGTGACTACTTCAATCTTTCCTCCACTTATCGTGATGTTACCTGTTGGTTCAGCTGTGAGGGTTTTGGTCTTCACAGTGAGTTGCAATCCATACTGAAGGCTGACTCATAGCGACCCCCTGTGGGCTTCTGAGACTGTCACGGTTTACAGGAGTAGAAAGCCCAGTCTTTCTCCCGTGGAGCTGCGGGTGGTTTGGAGAATCACTCAGTATTCCCTTGCTCTGTTCGAACAGCTGGCCCATGTACTGGTTCTGGAATATTCCCATTCTTCCCATTGCTCTACATAGTTTGTTATTATCCACACCGTTGCATGCCTTTGCATAATCAATAAGGCACAAATAAACACCTTTGTGGTATCCTCTGCTTTCAGCCAAGATCCTTCTGATGTCAGCAGTCGGTGATGTCCCTTGGTCCACATCCTCTTCCAAATCTGGCCTGAATTTCTGACAGCTCCTTGCACTGCTGCAACTTTTGTTGGGTGACTCTCAGCGACGCTGTGTGCATGTGATATTAGTGATACTGTTCAATAATAGCCACTTTCTGTTGGGTCACCTGTCTCTGGAATGCGTACACACATGTGTCTCTTCCAGGCAGTTGGCCAGACTTGTTGGCACAGACCAGTGAGTCCGTTGCATGCTTCATCAGCGTGTTGGAACATGTCACGTGACACTCCATCCGTTCCTGAAGCATCGTCTTTTCCTAATGCCATTGTTCCTAATGCTTCAGTACCATTGTTCTTGATCACGTGCTACCTCTTACAAAGGTTGAGTGTCAACCAGTTCTTTTGGGTCCAGTGACCCTGTGTATTCCTCTCATCCTCTCTTGCTGCTGCCTGCATCATTCACTATTTTGCCCATAAACTCTCTCAGTATTGCAACTCAAGGCTTTCATTTCTCATTGAGTTCCTTCAGCTTGAGAGACACTGATATTTCCGTTTCGTTTTCTACCTCCAGGTCTTCGCACGTTTCATATCACCCTTTGCCTCGTTGAGCTCCTGGTTGAAATGTTCTGTTTAGCGTTTGCACGCCGGCTTTCCTTCCATTGGTTTCGCAGCTGGAGGGGCAAGAGACCTGGTTCCAGAGTCTCATCTGACCTTTACTTTGATCTTTTCTTTCTGTCATGGCCTTTGCGTGAGCTTTTGCTCTCTTCAGGAATGATGTTCTTCATGCCATCCCACAGCTCAGCAGGGAGGGATTCTCTCATTAGTGTTCGGTGAGTCAAATTGACTCCTGAAATGTTGTTGAGATTCAGGCGGGATATACTCAAGACGGTATGTTGGCCCTTGGGGACTTGTCTTATCAGAACTCCGACCTTCCGGTTGGCAGACCACACTTAACCCGCGACACCACCCGGCCTCCTTTGGACTCATCCTGCTCCTTTCAGACTCCCACCGGAGCTTCCGATCTTAGATTCGACCTTCCAAAGGAAACTTCCTTTTTTTTTTTAAATCATTTTATTGGGGGCTTGTACAACTCTTATCCATCCATCCATCCATCCATCCATCCATCCATCCATCCATCCATCCATCCATCCATCCATCCATCCATCCATCCATCCATCCATCCATCCGTCCATCCAGTGTGTCAAGCACATTTGTACATTTATTGCGCTCATCGTTCTCAACACATTTGCTTTCCACTTGAGCCCTTGCTATCAGCTCATCACTTTTCCCCCTCCCTCCCTGCGTCCCCCTCCCTCATGAACCCTTGATAATTTATAATTATTTTTCATGTCTTACACTATCTGACGTCTCCCTTCATCCTCCTTTCTATTGTCCGTCCCCCAGGGAGGGGGGTATATGTAGATCCTTGTGATCGGTTCCTCCACAAAGGGAACTTCCTTACCTCATCTCCCTACCATCATTATCTCTGGTCGTCTTCTCGGGTCTGCTGCAAGCTCACTCATCTCCCACTCTCCAGCTTTCAACTCCTCTGAGTCAGGTTCGCTTAAGATTGCAAGTCACTGAGGAAGCTAAAGTCGCGCTAACTTTATAAACAATGCGTTCCCTTCTTGATAAGACATTTAGAGTTCAGCATCCAAGGTGGTCGGGATTAATTCTAAGATTGTATCTCACCAAAATATGTATTGTAAATCTTAAACTCGGGTGGATGCTAATAATCCCATTTGGGAATGTGCTCTTTGTCATGTTACTGAGAGTCTATTAGCACAGGGTGTCTAGCACATCCTTGTGTGTGATATAAGGGAGATGAGACTAGCAAGGGAAGAAGCCAAGGCGAGGGGAAGAAAGATGCTGGAGCACGGGACGTTCACCCAGGAGCAGAAGCTCAGCGGTCCTCCTCTAGGGGCGACGGAGAGAAGGGCTTAAAGTGCCCTCACCTGTGTGTGCTCCAGCCTTCTACGTGGGGTACTGCTGTTGCAGGAGCTCTGGGTAACAGCCTCTGGGCTGCAGCAGCACTTTTGATGCGGGACTCCAGCTCTGCCCTCTGCAGCGTGTGATGTCCCCCATGGTTTAAAAGGCCCCACCGCCACTCTCCTTTCCAGGCAGCAAGAAGGAGGCGAGTAGAAAGGGAGAAGGGCGTGTTAGTGTGTGAATGAGGCTTCATGAAGGTTTCACCTGACCCTCTGCCTACATACATTGACTTAATCACGTGGCTCCTCCTGGCTTCCAGGGAGGCGGGAAACGGTGTGTTCTCTCTAGCTGGAAACTCCCTAGAAGTCAGGGCCCTGCTAAAGGCGTGAGGGAAGTTGGCTGGACAACTGGCGGTGTCCACCCCGAACGTCCTTCATGCACACCCTTCCTGAGCTCTTCACGGTCGTTCGACGAGCTGCCACGGCTCCTCCTCCCTGAGCACATCCCTCCTCAATTGGCCTTATTTTTATTTATAATCCTGTCTCTCGGCCTCTCCTTCTCATCAAGATTGGGCAGCCTGGGGACAGAACCCATCTCACAGTGACCTCGGTAGGTGCCAACACAGTGCCTACACAAGGCACCGCCTCAGTAGGTGCCCATGGCGACGAGATGGATGTTGTTCCCGGGGCCTGTTTCCAGACCCCCAGGGAGCTGAGGTCTTTCTCTGCCCTCGGCGCTCTCCAGGTCTACGGCATCTTCTTCGCCACATCCTTCCTCGATCTGTACTGCAGCCCGAGGAGCACAACGACTGTGCTCCACAACCAGACAGTCGTCGTGGGTCGGGACGAGCAGTATCTGTTTCTGGTAAGCTTCCTGCCCTGCTGCGTGCTTGTTTTAAAGCGGTGGTTTTCACCCTATGGGTCGCGACCCCTTTGGGGGTCGAACAACCCTTTCACAGGGGTCGCCCAATTCATAGCAGTAGCAAAATGACAGCGATGAAGTAGCAACGAAAATAGTTTTTTGGTTGAGGGGGGGGTCACCACCACATGAGGAACTGTATGAAAGGGTCACGGCATTGGAAGGTTGAGAACCATTGTTTTGAAGGATGCTCTCGTTCTTGGCTGCCTGAACTCTGACCCAGAACTGGGGGACCCGAAAGCCTGGATTTCAGGCCCACCACGTGACCAACTTTAGCTCTCTTGGGAAGTATTGCTGATCTGGTCAATGATCAGAGGAGCACATTCCTCAAATGCTTTTCTAGGATTCTTTCTGTAGGCATTTAACCCCTGTACTGTTTGCACGTGTGTAAACTCTGTGTGACGAGATGGTTGGGGTCGTAGTACGTGTGATGGCAAGAGATCGGAAGTAAATGTTAGCAGAGGACGAGTTAGAGGTGGTGTGGCTTGTCCAAGCAAGGGACTACTTGACAACCAGCCCAAAGCAATTCAGTCCTACAGGTACTAACCAATATGGAAAATTCTCTAAGCTAGTTTGTTAAGTGAACGAATCCAAGGGCATAATCGTACGGCTACAGTTTTCCTCCTTTGTGAAAAGAAAAATGAAAAGGAGGCTACACGGAGGGCTCGTCCAAGGGTAAGTCAGAAAGCATTGCGACTAGGGCTCAGTTCTACGTGCTCAGGTGTGTTCCCTCTCCACACCCCACACCCCCAAACAGAGTGTTTAACCTTGCCCCGTGATGCCTGCATGGCCACAGACACGTGCTCTCAGGAGCACATTTGTCTGCGTCTTATTCCAGTGCCTTTAAAAAAGATGTGTTTTGAGGGCATGGCTGATAGCAACCTTGTAACAAAAATCAAGTAAGCACACTCCCAAGTCCTTAAGATTTTCCGCAAGTTGACAGCAGTGCTGCTGCACATCGAACAAGGCCTTAGATGGATCAAGTGTTTTAAGGAAGGGCGGGAAGCCTTCGAAGATGAGCCAAGAGTGGAGCACTGTCAAACTCAGCTAACGAAGAGACTGACCGGAGACCAGAAACGGGCGGAAGACTGACGCAGGCATCCCACGTGGTCTGGCCATTGCCGTTTTCAGAGAGTATCTTGCTCAGCAGGCCTTTGGCTCGGTGGGTGCCACAAGTGTTCAAAGAGCTGACCTTTCCCGTCGTCTTTTAAGGAAGACCAAAGCTAATGAAGCGCATTTGATGGGATGAGTGGTAACCAGGATGAGCCGTGGGTTAATCAGGGTGGCCCAGAGAGCCTGGTCCACCTAATGAGAGCAACAGCTTCCTTCCACGGAGACCTGCCAGACCAACGGATAGAAGACAGAGGATGCTCTCCCAACAATCAAGACAGTTCCCACTCATGGTGACCCCGTAGGACAAGGGGGACCTGCCCCTGTGGGTTCCGAGACCATAACTCCTTATGGGAGTAGAAAGCCTCATCTTTTTCCTGAGGAGTGGTTAGTGGTTTTGAACTGCCAACCTTGTGGTCGAGAGCCCAACACGTAATCACTAAGCTGGCAGGGCTCCCCCAAGGATTCCAGATGGGTAGTAGTGATAGATTTCCTCATCAGACGCAGGGCAATCACAGGAGCTTATTAGGAAGAAGTCTTCAGAAAGTGAACAAATGCACTTGTGAGAAAAAGGCCAGCAAAGTCGCACCAAGGGCGTTTGCTTTATTTTTTCTTCCTGACAACGCACCTGCTCGTTCTGAAATGGGAGCCAGGGCTCTCCTATGAGCAGTCTAGCTCTGCCCTCGCACCCGCGGAAGCTTTTTGTTCCCGTAACTCAGAGAACCTTTCAAAGGAGCCCGGTGTGCATTCCCCAGGGATACCAAACCTGCCGTTCTGACCCGGTGCAAATTGAAGAGTGAAGAAATTTTGGGGAAGAGTTAGGAAGATGCAAACACTACCTTCTCACGTTTATGCCCGTTGATGGAAGCTAGGTCCCAAAACAATGGCATCACCGTTTTGCATTGGTGTTTCATAAAGGTTTCTCTGATTTGATAGCAATACTTTTTTTTTTACTTCCCTCATATGTGTATGCACTTAAACACACGCATGTATGTCCATTTATACACATGCATATACGCATGCTTTGTACACACATGCACTGTGTATGTGTGTGTACCCACTCATAGCTGTGCTTCTGTATGCACAGAGCATTTCTGCAAGGAAGCCTGTAGTAAGTAAGTGAATTGGAGACCAGAGTAGGTAGGGGACGATTGTACGATTTTCTCTCTTTTTGTACTGATGTTTTGCTGTGTGCAGTTGTTGCTCTTTGAATGAAGGACAGTCTAGTAGAGATGGTCTCAGGCCTCAGTCGGTGCTTATGTCCTGCGCATGTGCTTGGGCCTCAGGTCCGAGTGGTGGTGCCCTACCAGGGGCCGTCGTCCGACTACGTTGTCGTCAAGATGATCCCGGACAGCAGGCTCCCACCCCGTCACCTGCATGTGGTGCACACAGGCAAGACCTCAGCTGTCATCAAATGGGAGTCGCCGTACGACTCTCCCGACCAGGACTTGGTGAGCCACCTGGCGTCCTTATTCGTGGGGTGGGTGGAGGGATCCAATAATGGGGCAAGACATGCCAGCCTCGTGGTTGGTGTCTCTACCCAATTCTATCTGGCTTCATAAATGACTACTTGCTGGGGGGCCGACCCTGACCCTTGGCCACCATATACATTATCCGTAGAACTGTGTGCCATAGAGATTCCTGGGCTGGTTTTTGTTTTTTTCAGAGATTGCTCAGGCAGCCTTTTTTCCAAGGCACCTCCGGGTGGCATGTGGCCGAGGGTTCTCTTTTCAGCTGGTACATCTTCATTATGCCTTCTGGGGCTGTCCCTAACTTCCTTGCTGTTTCTCCCCTCCCCTCCCTGACCTTCTAAAGCAAGGACCAGCAAACTATGAGCCGTGGGCCAAATACAGCCCATCACCTGTTTTTTTTTCCCCTGAGAATTAAATCTTACTAGAAGCCGGGCATGTCCATTTGGCTGCTTTTATGCTCCGGACCTAGAGTTGAGGGGTTTTGATTGAGACCGTCTGGCAAGCATGGCCTGAATTATTTACTGAAAGGTCCCTTACGGAAAAGTGTGCCGATCCTATTCAAAAGGACCGGAGAATGGTTCTGGAAAGATGGCGCTTTCTTTCCGTGGCTTTCAGCTGCGTTTCCTCCGCCCCCTGGGGTGCTTGGTTTCCACACGGGTTCACGCTGGTCAGTGGTACACTTCCTCTTGACCCCAGCTTCTTCGTGGTGATGGAATTCTGCAGCCTGCTCTGTCTCTTGATTTCCCCGGGCCTGTCTCCGTGAGAATCCAAGTACAGTTTTCTGATCGTCTAGAGCCAGGAGTTAACGCTTCCACTCATGACCTCTTGGTGGACAATATATTCCCAGACAACCGCGGTGATGGGGTGATTGCCGCCGAATTCTGAATCTGGGCCTTTTTTCTTGCCTGCCGCAAACCAACCACGGATGCCGTAAAAATGTGGCTGACTCTAAAGTTGTCGTAATTTTAAGAACATCTCAATAATAACTCTGTGCGCAATTAGGAACACTGGTTCCGAGGTTTGGCTTGCCTAGTCCACATATTTGCTGAAGGGCGAGGTCAGACTGGAGCTCAAGGTCGCGTGGCTGTGGGCCATGCGGTCCACTGTGGGACTACAAAGAGGGAAAGCACGTCAGGTTCGGACTACCATTGATATGGTGCTTCTTCTTGCCATAGTTTTATGCAATTGCTGTGAAAGATCTCGTACGAAAGACGGACAGGAGCTACAAAGTCAAGTCCCGCAACAGTACAGTGGAGTACACCATTAACAGGTTGGAGCCTGGAGGGAAGTACCATGTTATTGTCCAACTGGGGAACATGAGCAAAGACTCCAGTGTAAAAATCACCACAGGTAAGCACCGGAGGGCTCCAGAGGGGCAACCGGGCTTTGGGCTGCAGTGTGGTGTCCAGGCCGCCGTGGGCTGGGCATAGCCGGTGCTTCCCAAATTCGCTGGCTCCTTCTTAGTCTTCTCTCCTCTAGTCATTTTTCAGCTTGCTAGAGTAGTCAAGGAGGAAAGCACAAGGCAGTCAGAAGATCCAACTGAACGGGTGCCACTCGTTGCCTCTGGGGACCGCGTCTGACATGTCTGTGGGATCCTGTGGCGATCTGAATTGTGCCAGTGGAGCGGGGCCAGTACCTGGGCAGTGGATTTGAGGGCTGGTTCAGCAGCCAGCTCATGTTCGGTGTGCACCTACCACTCCCAGTTCCTCGGATGGCAGCAGGCAGTGTTGGTGATTTCAGTCATGGAAGCCCTGTCCCTAACAGCTGACCGCAGGAGCGGAGTTCCGGGCCATCCTCAGCTCTCAGGCCCATGCTCCATCTTCCTGCAGCACTGATCTCTCTGAGGCTCCTCCGTCTCTGGGGACAGGACTGAGGAGGACAGGAAGGTGGGTGGGGGTTGGAGCAGGCATTCAGGAGGACGCAGAGCCTGCCACATCAGCGATACTACGAACCACTGGCCCGTGCCTCCAGCCTTCCTCCCCTATTGCTCCTAGACATTCTAGCACTGTAGGCTGCCCGGCTGGGCATGCTCCACTGACTTGGTTATTAACGGTGTTAATAACCAGGACAAAGCAGGTGCCCAGTAAGCAGTATCCACTTTGTGCTAGATTCTATACCGGGGCTTCAAAAAGTTCGTGGAAAAATGCCCTAGCTTTTCATTCCACTTTTCCATGCATTCTTGAAGCCCCCTCATACTAACCAGGATTCGGCTGGCATGTGTTTGTGGTTGGATTTTGGTAACTCAGCCCTGCAAGGTGAATGTGACTGGTGTCCTCCTAACAGGCAAGAAAACGGGGGCTTGCAAGGGTCTCTGCTAACTGCTGCCTTCTTCACCTTTGAATTTGCAGCTTCATTATCGGCACCGGATGCCTTAAAAATTATAACAGAAAACGACCACGTTCTTCTGTTTTGGAAAAGTCTCGCTTTAAAAGAGAAGCTTTTTAATGAAAGCAGGGTAAGTTCCTCCCTCATTTTCCATGACCTGGGAAAACAGATTGAAATGTGACTTTAGCGGTATGCCCATTAACAGCATGCTGACTTACAAAAAGTTAAAAAGAAAAAAGCAATAGGACTAGAAAGTGAGCCTGGCAGTTAAAGACCGCCACCCCCCCAACACCCCCCCCCCATTGGCATTGCCAATGAGTGGAATGTTTATACTGTCAGTAAAGATAAGAATCTCTACACCAAGCACCTTTTAATATTATATTTATTTGTATTTTCTTCCCCTGAAAGAAAGGGAAATGGGGGTGAGGAGGAGCCCCAACCATGGTTCTTGAAGCTGAGCTGGGGTTCCAAATCATCTTCAGCAAGAATTACACCCTCCGTAGCCCTCCCGGGGCCTAGCTGCAGCTTCAGTCTTGGGGAGCTTGCTTGTCATTTCAAAGAAATGGGGCGGGGGGCAAGGACTGGGAGACATTCGGGAAGAAAACCACCTGTTTGTTGCTTTGTTTGTTACACCTATTCACACCCAAGTCCTATATTCACAATAGGAGAGAGGGGAAGGTCAGCAGAGGCCTTTGGGGTAGACTTGCCACCTTGAGTAAAATTGGCTTGGCCGGATTAACATCAACCCAAATCAAACCAAACCTACTGCCATCCACTCAGTGCTGACTGGTAGCAACTCCCCTGTGGGTTTACGAGACTGTAACTATTTAGGAGAGTAGAAAGCAATGTCAACATATTTCTCCCGTAGAGCAGCTGGTGGTTTTGAACTGCCGACCATGCAGATCGCAGCCCAACACATAACCACTACGCCACTAGGGCTCCTGATTACCATCAAGACAGCCGCTAAGTAAAAAGCTAGTGAATGAACTATGGCCACCTGGAGGTATGACCCATGGCCAGTTGTTGAGTCAAACGGGACCCTGTAGAAGCATGGGGTTTTCGGTGGCTGATTTTTTCCGGGAAGATCACCAGGTCTTTCTTCTGAGGCACCTCTTAGGTACACTTGCACCTTCAACCTAGTGGTTAGAAACCAAACGCATTAACCTTTTGCACCACTGAGGGACTCGTGGGTAGAATCTGCAGGCAAACTGCCCAAGTATCTAAATAGTCTTTGAAAGCAGAGCCAAAGTGTCATGTGAAAATTCTCACAACTCTGAGGATTCTCTCCACCTTCACAACCACAATTTAAAGAGTGCTTTCAAATCCATTGAGAGCATGAATACTCTTCATTTTGAAAAAGCTACAGGCTGTCGTGTAAGCAATTCAGCAGTGGTGAGTAAGAGAAGAAACCATTCCATCTCATTAGTCATTTTCATAACAAAGAGTGTTTTCACTGAAACTGGCAAAGGCTTGGGATGGAAGACTCTTACCAGTTGTGGTTTTCTTGGGTAAACTAGCGCTCTGGCTTCAGATCAACACCGCTAAGCATGCTCACGCTCTGCAGTGCGTCTGCAGTGGTGCGTGGCTCTAAGGAAACAGGGCGCATAAAGAATTCATGTGCAGAGCTGCTGCGCGCAGCACTCTGCAAACGAACAGGAAACCACCGAAAAGCCCCATAGGATAGGGGCAGGGTAAATTAATTATGAGGGCTTGATGTTTGTGTCATCCGCGTTTTCTTCTTTCTACCTCTGTGTGTTTTATATTGGTCTACCCTCAGTCGATACTAGACAAAATGTAACACAGACTCGTTTATAAAACACCCAGAGGAACGGGATTCCAGGCAGGCGGTATTGGAGGCCTGGGTGGGCAGCCATTGGACCTAAGGGGCCCTTTCTGGGTGGCAGAAGCTGGGTTTTAGGTTGGGGTAGCAGGCCGGTGTTCCAATCCCAGCTTGAGCATATATTAGCCTTCTTTCCTCATCCTGGCTTGATTGTGGTTTCAGAGAACAGGGCAGGTTTGCGCAATGGGGCCTAAGGAGAGAGGCTGTCAGTGAGCCCAGATGTGACGTGAAGTCTTGTGTACATGTGTAAGGGGTTGATAGCTTCATCACTGGAATACATGGAAACTAGCAGACAACTACAGTGATCGGGGCTGATCCCAACCAGCATCCTGGCTCAGGGCTGTCCCCAGAGTGACTTATCGCCACACAGGATCCTGGGACTCTTCCTGACTCCTCCCCTCTAGTGACTCACCACCCATCTGTCTCAGTGGAGGTGTAGCTTGTTGCTCTGATGCGCGACAGGTTTCAGCAGAGCCTCTAGACTGAGAGAGACTAGGAAGAAAGGCCTGGTGATCTATTTCTGAAAAACCAGCCAGCGACCCCTCTATGGATTAGAATGGTCTGACCCACAGCTGGTTTTGGAGGTGGTGCAGGACTGGGCAGTTGGGGGTGTGTGGGGGGGGGTTGCCATGAATTCGAGACCAACTCAGCGGCAGCTCATGGCGACAGCCCAGCATGAAACAAGTGTCTGCTATCTGTAGCTTTGTGTGTGTGTGTCAGAGTATTTCCTAAAATGACTCTTTGAATATACTTTTCATGTTTACTATTCAGCTCCTACGTGGGTATGGCCATTATTTCAGACACTGAGGAGGGAAAAACTCCAAGGATCTGAATTTTCGTGATCTCCATTGGAATGGGACAGGAACTAGTAGGAGCCCCAGAGGGCTTCGGTTTGCTCGGTGGTTTGTGGTTGCCGGGTGCGGCCCAGTCATCCCGTGCATCCCCTCTCCGTCGTTAACTTGGAGTCCGTGGCTGCGGCCACACTATCAGACCGCTCCTTGAGAGTTTCTGCTTCCTTGCGGACCGTCCACTCCACAGAGCGCCTTAGCATCCATCAAACCTTGATGAGAGGGGCCAGGCACATAACGGCGCATCAGCAGTGACAGGGCCACGCTCCTTACTCAGCTCAGCGTCCTGAGCCTCTCCCTGTGTCTGTTTGCAGGGCTACCAGGTACACATGTATGATAGTGCCATGAACCTCTCCGCTTACCTTGGAAACACCACGGACAATTTCTTTAGAATCTCCAATCTGAAGATGGGTCATAATTATACTTTCACTGTCCAAGCAAGATGCCTCTACGGCAGCCAGCTCTGTGGGGAGCCTGCTGTCCTGCTCTATGATGACTTGGGAACTGGTAAGTCACTCTTTCTTCAGCTCTGGGGGGCATGTAGCTTGATGAACAGGTGTCTCCCTCAAACACATTCAAATAGAAAACCATTTGGAAGCCCTTTTAATTGATTACCGATTGGTTTGATTAAAACTAATACTGATTCCTGAGCCAGGCATGGTGAGTGGAGCTGGGATTACAAAGGCACCGTACCCTGAGTATAAAGCAGTGCCATGGGAGGTGGGGAGGGAGAGGCAAGGCCTAGACAGGTGAGTAGGTCTCCTCCTCCGCTGCCTGGTAACTCTCAGCCCCTTTCTATCGGCCTCAGATCAAGGCCTGAATTGGGCCTGGGATCTGTATCTTGCAGACAGTCACTGATTTGGGCTGTGGGTTGGGACCCCAGGGTTTCTCCAGTTTTCTCATCCCAGCTTGGCCAGGCTTCCAGAAACCCTCCTGCCACAGGTCCCCGGCATTCTGTTTACTGCATGCCACAGAACCAGGCAGGTAGCCGGTTCATCTGGGAGTTGAATGCTCCATTTCATCACGCTTCCCGCAGTGTATCCTGGGGCGTCACCCTGCAAACCACAGCCCCTTGGAGAGTCCCGGGCTCTGTGAGTGTCATAGAGACTCTGAGACAGAGTGAACACCAAAATTCTTGTCACTCCATTGTTTCCCAAATAAACCAACGCACAAAACAAACCCGTGCTGCCCTGTGGACTCCGACGCTTGGTGGCCCCAGGTATGCAGACTAGAACTGTTCTCCTTCGGCAGGCTGGGGCTTTTCAGAAGGAAGCCACCAGACCTTGCTTCCAATTGTCCTCTGGGTGGTTTGAACAGCCAACCTGTTGGTTAGTAATCAAACCCTTAACCTTTTGTGCCATTCAGGGGTTACAGTTCCTAAATAAGGTGCCCCTTTTAAGCAAAAGTAGTTGGCAGCCTGTGAACCAGACTCTGGGACCAGTTGACAGCTATCTTCCTCAAACCATTAGGCAGAGTCTCGGATAGGTCCCTTGCCCCGTGTCTTGCCCTTGGTGTACGCATTCGTCTTGGTGGTGGGCAGGGGAGGTCACTAAGTCCTCCACCAAGATGGTGCCCTTTTTGCTGCTTCATCCTAGAGCCGAACCAGAGCCAAACTCACTGCCACCGAGTCCAGGGTGACTGTGGGACCGGGTGGAACTACCCCCGTGGGTTTCTGAGACTGTAACTCCTTACGGGAATAGAAAGCCCCATCTTACTCCTGAGGAGCACCTGGTGGTTTTGAACTGTCAACCTTTGGATGGCAGCCCAACTCAGAGCCACTGCGCCACCAGGACTGCTGAAGCAGGCCCCTTGAGTTCCCACTGCCGAGGGAAGGCTGGGGCCTATTCAGTTAGAGTTTGCCAGAGGTGGGATCTTGTTTTCGTTCGTCTGTTGGAATTTAAACAAATAAATGCAAATAAAGAAATAGCCATCAAACATTTGATTGGCCTCACCAGGAGCGGTTGCTCTCTTGCCCTGGTCTTTACAAGTTCTTACCTGGGGAGGGAGGGGCTGCTTGCCAGGAGACAGCCTCATGGAATATTAAAGAAGATTCAACAACAACAACAACAACAACAAAAGTGCTGCCAGGGAGTCAGTTGCAACTCACAGTGACCCTACCCAGCATTTCCAAGGCTACAGTATCTTTATGGTGGTGGATTGCTTCCTTTTTCTCTCCCAGGGTGGCGAGTGGGTTTGACCTGCTCACCGGGCAGTTAGTGGCCCCGTGCTCAGCACACGGCACCAACCAACTGGACTCCTTCGCGGAGCCCTCCACCCAGGAAAGTGTGCTCCGGCCTCAGCCAAGGACTGCCGCTGGCTTTCCTTTATCTGCCTCCGGCTCAGCCTCTTTACGAGCTTTCTGACAGCAGAAGCCTCTCGGCGATCTGCTTGTGGTCCCTGCGAGGCCGCCAGCTGCTCTGAGGGATTGAAAGACTGGGCTTTCTATCAGGGTAAACATTACAGACCCGGAAACCCACAGGGGGTCGCTGTGAGTCAGCATTGACTCTTGGTTGGGCCCCAACCCAACAGGGTGTGACTTGGCTCTACCGCCTCTGTGGCACAAATCAATCACCAAATGGGGGCTCCATCGAGACAAGGGTACAGGGCGGGCTGCTGTGGGCACTAAGTGGGTTTGCAGAGCTATGAAAATGCTAGTGTGCACAGAAAAGGTCTCCTCTCGCTCCTTTATTTACGTTAAAGAAAAAGCTGAAACTCCATGAGTTGTTAAGGCCGAGTTCTAGTGAAGGAGGCTCGTCTCACTTGATGGAGCTTCAGGTAATTGCAGTTCAGAGTGACTTTGGTGCCAAGTGGGAGACAGTAATTGCAACTCTGTTAATTAGTGGTCGGATTTCACATCCTCTTAGGCAAGGCAAGCGAGTGATCTTCAGTAATCATGCTAATGAAATCAGTGCCTATACCCCCACAAAGGTCGCCCTTCCAGAGATTATCTGGATAACCCACAGGCACCGATATGGACTCTAATGTCATTACCGTATTGGCACACGGCAGTGCCCGCGGGCATGCAGCTTCCGCATGGATGGAGAACACATTCCAGACAGTGACTCATGTGTCAGGGCAGAAGCGCACTCCACCGGGATTTCAGTGACTGGTGGCTCAGAAGCCGACCACCAGGTCTTTCCTCTGAGTCACCTCTGGGACCCGTTTGATTAGCTGCCCAGCAGGCCAATTTACCAGTCGCACCTGGGGAGTTGGCTTGGGTAGCTGTGGCGCTTGTGTGCTGTGTGGTGGGTGGGGCACTTGGGTCAGCGTCTTAAGGTGGGGGGCTGATTGGTTGAAGTCTTGCCTTGGCAGGTGCAGACCCAGCCGCGTTTCGGGCTGCCAGATCTACGGACGTGGCTGCGGTAGTAGTGCCCATCTTGTTCCTGATCCTGCTGAGCCTGGGCGTCGGGTTTGCCATCCTCTACACAAAGCATCGGAGGCTACAGAGCAGCTTCACCGCTTTTGCCAACAGCCACTACAGCTCCCGGCTGGGCTCCGCCATCTTCTCCTCCGGGGATGACCTGGGTCAGTGAGGCCGGGGAAGTTGGCTCCCAGGGGGAAACCACACTAGACTAGGAAGCACCTACTTTCCATTAGTGACCCTACTGCTTCGGGGAAATCTAGTGGGAGCTCTCAGGTTTGAACGTTCCCCAAATTAAGAGAGCAACAGTCTCTTGGACAGCCTAGGTCTCTGGCCCGAGACAGTGTCTTAGCCCCCTAGTGCACCCATCACAAAGAGCACAGAATGGTGGCTTTACAGCGCAGACGGCCTCACCGGTCCAGGAGCCACAAGTCCACATCCAGACATCAGTTCGGGGGGAGGATCCTTTCTTGTCAGTAGGCCTGGGTGTCTGTCAGCTTTCCTGCGCTTGAAGGCATTTTCCACCTGGTCTTTCACTGTGTGTGTGTGTGTGTGTGTGTGTGTCTGTCTGTCTGTCTCTCTGCCAGTCGTCCTTTCTGTAAGACACTGCTCAGAGGGATCCACCCTACTCAAGCCTGACCAGTAACATCAAAGAGGAGAACCCCTATTTCCTACCTCACGGGGTCACAGATTCAATCCATAGCATACAGGGAGCAACTTAGGGAAGAACTGGTAGGAGCTTGCCTTGTCCAGGAACAATGGCCAGGGGAATCCTGAGTTGGACTCCTCTGGAAGTGCTGGAAGGCCCCAAGATCGCCATCTTGCTCTTGTCCTGGAGGCCCTCCCTGGAGGGCCTGTTGTTGTGTGTTATCTGGTCACACGGACGGACCCTGTGTGAGGGCGTAGAGGGCAGCTCCACAGGGTTCCCTATGCAGACGCCACAGGGCAGCTGGTGGGTTTGAACTGCTGACCTTTGGGTTAGCAGCTCAGTGCTTACCACTATGCCACCCGGGCTCCTTCTGAAGGTCCTTGATCAGAGAAAAGTAACGCGCTCCCAGTCAGCTTCTATCAAAGGATGCCCTTTCCATCTTGCTCTCCTTCCTTGCAGTCTCCCCAAGCATTCTCTCTTTCTGTGTCAGCGCGTGTCACCTGGGAAGGAGCAGGAAGTTGTCCTCTCAGTGATATCTGAATGCTCAGACGGGGTTAAACGCTTTTCATAAAATGGGCACCTTAGAGGCGTCCTCCCTCAGCTCAGCACAAGTTCATGTTTCCTGTCTCAATGGAACTCGTTGCAATGACTGTTTCTTTTGTTCATAAAGACATATCTGCCTTCCTATGCACTGATCATGGCTGTCTGCTCTGCTCCCTTTCCTCCTTGTCTTCCTCCCTCCCTCCTTCCCTCCCTCCCTCCTTCCTTCCTTCCTTCCTTCCTTCCTAAGCAAGCACCTGGGCTAGCAGGAGCTGGGCTGTGGAGTACTGGTTACTTCTCTGTAGGGGCACCCTGCAGCAATCACTGAACCTGGATTGCCACCCAGTTTCACAGATGTTCCCAGGGGCCATGGCTCCAGGAACCACTAGCCAGGGAAGCTGTCCCCACAAAGCTTTCCCTCCCAGATCCTGTTTCTAAGACAGGTGTGGATTCAAAGGGGAAGCAGACAGTGAAGTTAACCGTGTGAATGTAGGCTGTGGGTCACTTAAACAGGGGAGCCCAAACTACAAGTTTAGCTCATGGGGTAGGTTCCTGAGATTCACTGCCACTGACAGACATGTTTCCCTTATTTGGCTACCAGAAGATGAAGGTTGGCCACTCATTGATGGGGGAAGAGGGCCCAAGAGTAATGGAGGGTAGCTGGGCCAGGCTTCACAATAGAGTCGGGCTTAGTTGCCGTGTCAAGTGTTTCTAGCTGAGAGCCGAGATGAAGGGGTTGGGGGGTGGGGGAGACAGATGGGTGAGGGGGGGGTACCTGGAAAATATGGACTGGAACTCACCTCAAAGTGACTGTTTTGCCTTTAGGAGAGGATGATGAAGATGCTCCCATGATAACTGGATTTTCGGATGACGTCCCCATGGTGATAGCCTGAGAGACCTTCCTCATTAGAAACCAAATGGTGTAAATATTTTATTTGATAGAGTTGATGGTTTATTTTAAAAGATGCACTTTGAGTTGCAATATGTTATTTTTATATGGGCCAAAAACAAAACAAAACAAAACAAAAAAACCCATAAAACCGAACAACAAAAAAGATGCAAATAAATACACTTTGTAGGTAATCGACTGTGAACTTCAAACCAGGTTGATTTTAGTAACCAAATTGCTGTGATTTGGCATTAATGTCGTCTTACAGGGCTGTGCTTGCTGGGCATGCTGTTAAGTCTGTGAGATAATTTTGGTTCAGTGAATTGGTCTTTTTTATTTTTCTAAGACACAGAAATGTACTTAATAAAATCTTCAAGAGGGACTGATGGACAGGATCTCGCTCCTTGAAGGTGTGATCAGATTGTACATTTTGTTTGGATTTAGTTTCTACCGAAAGGGTTTGGGTATACAGTGGGGGAAGACTCCTTTGTGTTACTTTGTTACTTTGGGGGGACTCTGTTTAAAGCCAGGTGTTAGCAGCATCTGATACTGCACACGAGATGAGCCTCTCACCCATGGGATGCTGAGGGAGGGGGGGTGCTCAAAAGTGTTTCTGTTGCCATTCCAGAGCAGTCCTCTTGTATTCACTTCCATGTCACATGATGGCATCCCACAGGGAGGAGGCATCAGTGAGTCATTGCTCTTTCCAATTCCGCAGAGCTGGGAAGCTCTGCAAGCCAGCAGCTTCCTTCCTCCCTAGTAATTGGTGAATCTCACTGTCTGTGCGAGATGCAGCTTTGGAACGTAGGAGATGCTAACATCGACTGACCCTACACCAGTGTCTGATTGTCATTGCAGAGCAATTCGCTCTGCCTGCGGAAGGAGTTTACGGATTTGTGCGACTCATGGGTACACAGGCAAGCATAGTTCCTACGTTTTCCACTTTCGATTCTTTGTTAATATAAATTTGCCACTGAGGAATCTCGAATGTGAAATTTTGTATTTGTGTTGTGGTGGCCACTTCCTGTCCTGGAACCCATACTGATAGCTGCACTTGTTTGGAATTGGGTCAGTGCCTTCTCTCCCAAGCCTTTTGTTTTTGCTTTTATTTTTCTTCCACCTTCCCTGCACCTACCTCCACCCGCCTGAAGAGAAAGTGCCACCCGCTGTCACAGAAATAGAAGAAATCGACACATTTGAATCCACTGAATTCAGTTAGCCATCGTGGCGGCAGCGGTGCTTTTTCTTCTACCTTGAAGATGCCACCCCTGTGTTCACATCATGGCCGGTTAGAGGGAACCCACTGTGGGCCAGCGCCTGCCCTGCAGAAAGACAGTGCTGTGCCATTGTTGTGATCGGACTGTGCCTCTCCCTGCAAAACCTCCTCCCAGCTGAGAAGCAGGGAACTCTGGGAATGTTCCTAAGCCACACCTCTCCATAAGCACCCTTTATATGCAAACCTCGTCAACCCTGCCTACCCTACCTGCAGACGCAATGCGTCGCCTTCTCAAGTATTGGGTGTCTTTAAACCAAAAAGATCGTTCTTGGGTGAAACCATAGTTGTGTTCCTCGTAAGAATTGTTTAGGGGCAGGAGGGGAGAGCTCATTACGTTTTTGAGGCATGTTTGCGTGTGTCCGTGTGCGTGTGGGAAATTTTATTTATTTAATTTTCAGTGAGCACTATTTAAACTGTCAACATGTAGTGTGTCATGTGGACAGGGCTCGCTCTCTCCCTCCCTCTCTGAATGCAGCTAAGTGGTGGTCACGGTGAGCCTACGTCCAGCACAAGCCCTCTTCCTCCCCACCTCGCTCCTTTGGAAAATGTGTTTAAAGCCTGGGAGTTCCGTGGCTTTATCCTGACTTGTGTGAGAGTTCACCTTAAGACTGGACCGCGGACACAACGGCCCGTGCCCCCCGCCCCCCCTTTCACATGCTCTTTAAACAGCTGGAAGGTTCAATCATCTGGTGGAGGGCAGAGCATTTCATGGAACCACTAGTCTGTATAGTTTCTCCTTTTTCTGCCAACTTTTGGATGGCATTTGTCAAAACTGGTGTAAAAGTCTGGAAGGCGTTGCTCGCGATTCTTCTACAGGCGAGCTGGGGGAGGTGGGTGGG